CAATGCACAGGTGAGTCAGTAAAGGTGAGTGCGTGAGCGAAGGAAAGAACTTTAATGTTGTTGTAGTTGTGGATGTTGCTGGTGCTGCTGCTGCTACTGCTGCTGTTGCTGTTGCTGTAGTCGCTGACCGCTGTTACTCACTTAATAAGCGGAGAGTAAATATTTAAATATTTGCATATGAGGCACTCGAGTTTATTTGCCACAGGAGATTGACAGCAATGCGAGTTTGATGCCTCACATCATGAGATCATAAGAGAGACAGTACTCAATATAGACAGAGAGAGAAAGAGATAGATCAGTAGCCAAAGTGTTGTTGACCAAATGCCATAAGAAGTGTTTGTCCATGCAGAAGATGAGAGATGAGTGCCTGCAACTAGGCAACTCAGTAGCCACTTTGGATTAAGGCATCCAAACGTCTCGACGTTTGTTTGACCCACAGAATGCGAAGCGGTTGCTTTTGATCGGCTTCGTCACAGACCCTACAGTTGCAGCTCAAGCGTCTGCCACTCGGCTTTGATTAGTGGACATCGAAGCCGACTCTGAAGAGATCTTCTCACCTGTCGTATTTCCGGCCCCACAGGCCGTAGACAAGCTCATTTGGCTTCTGTTTGCCCGTGGGTCCATTCACTATCGGATGTTTGTGCTTTTCGAATAGGTTGTTTACCGTGCATTCATTGCAATCACAATCATACTCACAATCTCAAACACAATCTCAATCATAATCAATTGGAAATGCAATGACATCGTAAACCACAAACTGTCTTCTTGGCTCATAAATTTAAAAAGCCACAACAATTACTGTGCTCCGCTCCGCTCCGCTCTCCACCTATCAGAGTCGAACAAATCAAATAAATAATAATATACTATATGATATCGTATGATACGCGGAGAGCGTGCAGCCGGGCCTCGGCTACTGGTATTTGAAAACCATAAACGCAACATTCAATCGATCGTTACAACTCGATAAAGTAACACCACCACCATCCGAGTTTAATTAGGTGCACCGTCTGCACAGTGGGTCGTAAAGCCAATATTTTGGATAACATTTTGATAGGTTTACAAAGTATAGTAAAATTAACATCCCAAATAAAACGAATATGTAGCTCTTATCTTCTTCGTGTTTGCTTAATACTCATTAATTTTTGGCATTTTGGAGCACAATCCGCTGTATCTGCCCCATTGTACACCGTCGACTCTACATACTTGGAGTTACCCACGATAAACTTGACAAATAACATAAATGCTTTTTATTGCGGGTGGTTCAGTTGGGCCAGTGGTTGCGGCTGATTGGGGTGGGGGCTTTACGCGTTCGTTCCATAGACTTGGGTGTACTTACTACTAGTATTACGCGACGATGCATTTTATGACACCCACTGGCGTCAATTATAAAGATATTTAAGTACAGTTAGCTAACAATTAGACAGGGTCTTCCAACTGTCCAAGGCAAGTAAATCCCTGAGATTTCTTTGTTATATATATACGTATATATGAATATAGATATCTGCGGCGACTATATAAATTACCGCCATTGATAGTCGGTCATATGACAATTAGCTGTAAATTAAGTCCACGAGCAAGTGCAAAGAAATAAGTTGAGTTCAGGTATACTTAGTAGCAATGGCGCAAGGCTTTAATTAGTTGGGGTGTGTGTGTGTGTGTGTGTTAGGAACTTCGTCATAGTCGCTCACTGGGCAAGAAGGCTGCAACTTAATATAAAGAGACTCGCGATTTGCCTATTTAAGAAGTAATTGAGAGCTGGACAGTTGGATGTATTGAGAGGGAGGGCATATAGAGAGCCAGACAGGCAGAGCAACTGCAAGAGAGATATTTCATCAAGCCAGTATACTCCAGTGTGAGTACAAAACAAAAAGACCTGAGCATAAGCGGACACTCGCGAAGGCTTAACGAAGTTAGAGACGCGTCTGAACGACTGCAACATGCTCTTCGCTGAGACCTGAGAGCAAACAGAGCATATTTTCACTTTGTAGGAGAGCATAAAGTGGAATTACTAATAAACCAGAAGGGCCTATCATCAGCTTTGCTTAACCAGCTGCCGCAGTTTCCCTCCATTTTCCAAAGTGCCAACAATGCTTTTGATTTGCCCACTTCAAAGGCGCCGCAAAGCTTGATATGCACAATGCCAATATACTCTTCTCACATTGTGAACACTTTAGAGAGCACCGAGCAGCCGTTGCGGTAAGTCGGCCCGCTTTGCAGTTAGGCTGAGGTTTGCATTGCTTGGAGTTTCGCCTCGGCTCGTCGTACACTCGAGTTATGCAAATAGAGCCGAGTTTAATTATGACCATTAGCCACTGTTGAGCGGCTACCGTTTTGAGTCAATACACTAAAGACAAAAACCTCTCTCTTGATGGAACCTTTTCTTTTTTGGAGTGGGTCGATTGGCATTTAAAATTGTCGCTTTGTTCGGCAAATGAATGACGATTCGAATCACACGATAATGCTCATTAATGACCAAACTTATTGACGCAAGCTCATTGACCGAACATTGCGATATGCCGAATTTGCGTGACTCACCCTACTTCCAATGCGTAGGGTGTCATTAAAACTAATATTGATTCAATTTCAAGATTGTGACAACGTCGAACAAAGATAATTTTAAATAGGTTTTTATTATTAAATGTGAGTATTGTCCTATAATAACTAACACGTTTTAGAGATAAGTTTCAATGGATTTTTGTTAGAATTCCTTGGTACAGTGACTATATCGATATACATATGTATGTATGTATATAATCTGTAAGATGTAT